GTCGTTTTTTTAGGAGATGCTGAGACAGGCTTCTCCGGGAGCGGGCGAGGACGTATCCCCTCGTCCTCCGAGCCGTCCCCCACTGGTGACCAGCCAGTGGGAATCGGGTCAGTCATCACCACTGCACAACATTTGCAGGAACAGAACGGAGCCCGTCTGCTGCAGCAGCAACGGGAGGATCCGAACGGGAGGGTCCCGCCACCAATTCCGGTTCGGCTCTCCACTCACTTAGCTGCTCTGCCAACCAATTGTGGGTCCAGAGAACCGTTGCCTCCTGGAGGCGGCGGCCCAGGTTTCTTCTTGCCCATTTTTCCGCCACCACAAAAGGTGTCTTCCAGTCTCCAGGTCCCTGCTCCAATAAAAGAGATATGTCCTTTGTCCTGCAGACCTCGTAGTGGTCCCTCAGGATCACCAGCGTGGTCCATGTCCAATCCTTAGCATTGCCACTGATCCTGAGGGCCGTTTCTTGGGAGGGGATCGCTGGTACGATCACTCCTGCCAGATGCTCCATTAATCTCTGCAGTGAGGGTGGATAGCGGGCGGTGTCGTTGGACTCAACATTCCTTAATCAAACAATGAATTATCCGCACCTTCTCAGCAAAGTCCGGATCCTCTGAGTGGCGTTCCTCTGAGCGGCGTTCTTCCGGCTGCGATGGAGCAGGCCTTCTCTGGCCCATTCTCCTCCCATTGGGAACCTCCAATCCTTCAGCCTCTGCAGGCCCTCTGTGCCGAGCAGGCTCACGACGCCGAGGAAGTCTCCGGCGCGATGTTCCAGCTGTCGACGTTTAATGTAAAAAAATAAAAAGCAGGCTTTTTAATCTCATTAGCAGAAAACAGTCGATTCTCAGGCTTTTGCGTTCGGACGTTGGAGCGTTTTGGGTTCGTCAGGCCGCTCCTGTGTGAGTGCCTGGATGTGTGCAGGGGTCCCTGCTCTCCCGCTGCCTGCTGGTGAGTTCCAGGTATAAACACGCTGCCTGCTGGCCAGGACACAGTCCCGTCTATTAGCTCCATAATTCAACGCAGCCCCCAGCAGCCTGCCCTGATCATAGGAGGGTAATTGCAGGGAGGCTGATTTATTGACGCGGTGCTGTAGATTACAAGCGGATGTGGGCATTTTGTTTGTGGCTTGTTTTAAATATTTCATGTAATTGTGAAAGCTGGAAAAAAAAGGAAAAAAAAGAACAAGCAATCAAGTCTCAAATCTTGTTTTAAATCTAGTTTGCACTAAAAACGACAAAGTAGTGCATAGTGAAGTAGTGAAGGACAAGATTTCAACATTTTTATCCCCAAAAAATCTAAAATGTGTGGCAGACCTTATTATTAATGCACTAAAATGACACCTGTAGATTCATAGCAGGAGTATCATGCAGGTTTGACCATTAAGGCATGTAATGTATGTCACTTTGACCCGACCGTGACCATTTCTTGACATGCAGACCGCTGCGTCTTGGTGGCCTCGCTCTTTGAGGGGCCGTCATTTTCAATGGCCGTTGAGATGGATGGAAACATCAATAAATATACCCCACTTTTAAAGGGAGACGTCGTCGCCTCCAGAATGGTGTCATCCGGGTCGGCGGCTGACTTCTCCCCTCCGCTGGGCAGCTGTTGCAAGCTGCGCTCCAGCAAAACGCTACTTTATCATAACAAATTACACCCGGAGTGGTTTTCTTGCAAACCAAACGTCGGGCCCCGAAACGCACGGAGGGAATCTGAAAATAGACCCGTTGCCAAGGAAACGGTTGAATCAATCTGAAACGTGGCTCATCTTTAAGATTTTCTCCCGCAAAGCCAATTACGGTACAAATAGTGCCAAAAATACGTGTTTGGGGATCCAACGCTGTTCTATTCTGTCCCACCTAATCCGCTGTTATTACTGATTTTGAGCATCCTACTGTATAAGACATTGAGTTTTCATTTATAGCGACTGTTTGTTTCTCCTTTTATCAGTAACCACAGATTGATTCCAAATTGGATATTTTCTTGATTGCGTTGCGGCGGATTGGAAAACTGACTCACCGCACTGTATTTAATTCAGAACACAAAAAACGATCCCATTATTTTCTCTCTTTTCTTTAGCCTAAAGATCTTTTTCGTCAGCAGTGCGCTGCACAATGACAAGATGTTTGTGGCACTTATTTGTCTCCCCCCAAAACAAATGCATTCCAATGTGTCCTGAACAACAGCAGATACGAACACACACCCACACGCGGACTGAGCTTTTCCGTGAGCAAGACGCAACACATGCGTTTGAGATGTCGTTTGGATTGCAGTCCAACTGAATCACAGGCTTTATCATGAGGTATACATAATGCCTTTTTGTGTGTGTGTTTGTTTGTTTGACAGAGTTTTTAATGTGTGCGGTTTGAACACAGTGACAAACGGAAGGAAACATGTAGGAGACACGTGTAGCTGTACACTTGATCAGTTCGAAAGCAGAAGAAATCAAAGTGATTTAATATGTAATTCTTGATTCTTGGGTCGATGAGAGACGACAGAAAATCTTTCATTGTTGCATGTTTCATTGTGTCCGTTTATGTAGAGATTTGCTAAATGCCGTATTTTCTGGACTGTAAGACAAACTCTCTCTCTCTCTCTTTATCTATTTATATATATATATATATATATATATATATATATATATAAAGTATATATACTTTCCTGCCACTTAACGTCAAGTAGAACTTCTGTTTTATTCCACTTCTTGACAAATGTTTTCACTTTCTGGTGTTAATTCAAACTAATAAAGATGAAGTATTAGTCAATAAGTCAAACTTCAATCCCATGTTATATGTGTTGACTTTGGTTTTATTCTGTACACTTTGTGTTGCGTTGACATTGAAGGTCATGAGGTTTTGTGGTTCTGTTTCAGGTGTAGCTGCTTTTCATTTGTTAATTATATTGTATATGAAATGCAAATCTTTGAGATACTTTAAGGGTTTTTTTTCCATCTCATTCGCATTCGGATAGTATGACAATGTATTAGCCCAATTGTAGATTCAGAAAAAGGAGAACAATTCAGGCAAAAAACTGAGATTTTCCAGAAAAACAAAAATTGGATTTCAGAGCGAGAAAAGTTTTACATATCTTTGTACATTTTTTCAGTTTCAGAAGTCAATGTTTTTTTGACTTTCCAAGATTTTCTAGAAAATTTCCGAAAATAATTTTCTTTTTCTCACTTATTAATCTCAGAAACTTAAAAGAAAAAACTTGGAAATTTCTGGATTTTTATCTTGCAAGTTGAAATGAATCTCAATTTCTAATGTTTTATTTTTTTTTTCTCACAAATTTTGGACTTTTGCAGCTCTGAAGCTGATCTCTGAAGTCAATCTCAAAATTTCTGAGTTTTATCATGCAAATTTTTGACTTTTGGAACTGATCGATTTATTTATTTATTTTTTGCTTACTCTACAATATCAATTTTTTTAAAAAAACCTAATTTTTCTCTCTCTCTGTCTCTCCTGGCTCTGACACGCCGTCACAGTAAAGTGACCCCGACGGTTTTTGTTGCAGTTGATCTGAGCTGTAATTTAGGGACAGACAAGTCGAAACACATTCAAGCGACTCCTAAAGGACTGCCCGGTGTGTGTGAGAGAGTAAGATGGACAGAGAGAGAAAGAGAGCTGGAGAAAACCACCAGAGCTTCAGAGAACCGTAACTGAATCTATGGAGATGAAAACACGATGCTGCAGGTTGGAGAGAGATTGATGATGGAGCGCTGGGTGGATAAAAAGCTTTCCAAGTTCAATGCTCAGTGGTCTTAGTTAGGTCACTGACCCAAATCCCAGTGCCCCCTGTAAGACACACACACCCACTCAATTGATGGGATAAGTGGTTTAGATCCATTTAGATGAGAGGTTGTAGTTAAAGGACAATAGGTGAGTGTGTGCGAGTGTGTTACGGAGGATAAAAAGAGAAATAGATCAATGTTGCTTTGTGTCTCGAGGTTAACTTTGGAGAAAACACCAAGCTGAGCCTCCCTACACAAAAACATACAAAACCCCCGTCACCTTCAGCCCAACCTCATACTTTAAGTCCAAATTTAAGCTGTAAACATTGAAGTTTCCTTCTTTAATCCACTGGCTTAAAGTCACCCGAAGGGCAATTCAGTGTAACTTCATTATGGCAGAATGCAGAGTGAGATCACAAGCTAATCGAATGCTAACAGCTAGTGGGATGTTTACATGGATTCAGACCTTCAGTGACGTCCATGACTCCCTGTACGGTAGCTCAGAAGGGCCATAATTAGACAAAAAGTACCCAGAGCAGTGCCTGAAGGTCCGCTCAGCATCCAACCGCGAAAATGACATGAAGGCCATTTCTGTTTTGAGCAAATGGAGGGATGACTCATGTCACTGTTGTTGTGGCTAATCCTTGGATGGTTAAACAAATCAGCTCCAAACAAACCCACTCAGATTGATTCAAGAGTCCTTTCACGCCTCAGAGATGCAAAATACGTTTTTATATTTAACGTTCCTGACATAAACGATAAGCGTGTACGATTCTGCATATTTTGGTATTGATTTGACATCAGGTAAATACACGGTCGGCATCACGGATGGTGATACTGGTTCAGATCCTTTTTTTAAGCTCGATATGTCATCAGACTTCTGAGCTGTAAGTGTTTTTGACACATTCTGTTCAAACCTGGAACAGAATTTGGACAAACTTTACAGGCGTCTACAAAATACCTTTAACTATGTGTTTTTGTGTCAACAAAGCTATTTCGCACGGCTTCACAAGCTTGGCCAAACATGTAAAAATAACTTGAATTTGTTTAGTCAGCGCCATTTAATGTGAAATAAATAATAAACTCAAGAAAAGATAAGGTCAAACAAATAAAAAGAACAAGCTTTCTTTCAAATGGTTCGGAAAGTGCAATCAGCTCCCTGAAAACCTGAAGATATGAAGAAACAGCAAACTATTTTAAATCAGGACCAATAATGTTTCTTTCAAATATTTTTAGCTCCTAATATGAGCATTTTGGCATTGCTCCTCTTCAGGAACTCCACCTACTGCATGAAAGTGTCCATGTCGATGACCGTGGAGGAGAGCGACGAGGGGAAGTGCTACAGCAGCAAAATCCGGCACCTGGAGAAGGCCGAGGTGACCCACAGCAAAATGATCACCTGTCCCGACATCGAAGACTATCTGGCTCCGTACAAACAACCTCAGATGACCTGGTATAAGGTACTGCTCTGAAAACACCATCAACTGCTCTCCCGGAGTCTGCTGCAGCTAAACGGGGCTCTCCTGCTAGGAGTGCGAGCGAGTGGAATGGAGGAGCTCCGTTACCGTCAACACGACGCACGTCTGGATTCCTGAGGTGGAGGAGGGCGACGCCGGGAACTACACGTGCGAACTGCAGTACGGGTCCAAGCAGGTGCGGCGGACAACGCAACTCAAAGTGACAGGTAGGAAACAGTGTTTCAGTAACTGCATTTCCATTACAAATGTGCGCTAAAATTAGTCAATTTTCTGCCAATGTGAAAAAAAACAACAAAAAACACAAGTTGGGAATTGCAATGTTTCCATTAAATAGAAAACACAAATAAATAAATAAAATCACAAGAGGAAACAAACAAAAAAAGACGCTATCCTACTGCCAAAACTTCTTATCGGAAAAGGAGAGTTTTTAAAAATTGTTGCGTTTCCATTCTGCCAATTGATTTTTTTGAAATGTCAAACTGTTCAATTTTATGGTGAATGGAAACTGAGAAGTAGCTCCTGTAATGAGCTCAGAAGACGTGCAGTTCCACCAGGTGTTTGCTAATTGCTGCTGACTAGTCTGAAGGAGCTGAGTTGGAAAGTCAGCAGCTCCAAGGAGGAGCTTTGTCCTGGAAGGCGGAGCTAGGTCCAACCAGGCATTTTACACAGCTGAATGGTTGTCATGTAGATTGAAGAATTTCTCATACATGCATAAAAGAATCAAGGCAACACTCAAGGTATGTTTTTGATGAGGGAATAGCATTATAACATAAAATAAAACTCAAAAAAGGTCATTTTAGATATCACTGCCCCTTTAAGGGATTATGACTTTGAGTTAAAGAATGCAATGTAAGAAAAATGTATTTTAAGCACATCTGCCATCCAACTTGTCTAAGTACAGTATACATGGACTTTATGCAGTCAGTCATTTTTGACAAACTAACAAGAATGAAATAAAGTGCAGCGTGAACAACTCCTCTACCTTCTCTGAACGTTTAGCAGCCCTCCTAACTCCAGAGCATCCATTACTTTGACAGATGACCGGACTCAGCAGTGCACCATTCATCATTACTTCAGCACTTTTAAAGTTTCTTTAAGTACACTTTACAAATGTGCCCTAAAATTGTTGAGTAGCTTTTTATCCCTGTAATTTTCCCCCCCTCCTGTAATTTAAGTAAAAAAACATAAAAGCCCTCGGTGACTTTTTGTGGAACTTTGACTCGTCAGGAACCTCGGGACTCAGAGCCAACGTTGCCGTTTCGTGTGCGTTTTCAGGAGCAGGAGTCGCTCTTTGCCACCTGCTCGTGTTTTATTATTATTCCTCCTGCAGCAGATTGTCGGTTTCTCTCAGCAACAGCAGCATCTTGAGGATCGGTTTTACGTTGCACAACAGTTCATGAGCATTTGCGGCAGTCTGATTTCCCGTAAGTCCAACCTCCTCTGCGCTCCGACGGTGATGCAGGCCGACAGATTTCCTGAAGTGCTTTAAAGCGCCGTGATTAGCGACATGCTAAAGCCGAACAATGTCCTTTTAGAGTGTGTCCTAAAACATTTAACGCTCCATTTCACCACACTTTCTCTCTCTCTTTTTTTTTCTTTTTTAAATCCCACAGCCCAGTCAGTGCTGCTTTCTTCCAGCACTTTGCTGCGCTGTGCTTCAGATGTGCAGCTGCCTCTTGCAAAGCGGAGCTGACATGAACAGGCGCTGCTTCATTTTTCAGAGAATTATTCACCGCGCTGCCCTGGTTCCCTCCGCCGCTGCAGAGGAGAGCAGAGCCAGGAAACGCACAGATTCCTTTGCATCTTTCCTCGCTGAACATTTTTCTCTTAACGCCACAATTTAAGGGAATTTAATTAGTTTATGTTAAAACGCAATAGGATGCAATTAACATGTGGAGTTGTAAACAGCAGTTGCATTTTTTTGCCCTCACTCACAGCGTGGAAGTGAATAGTAACGCCTCAGCATAATTTAGTAATAGTTATAATAAACTTTAGAATTAATCTCACACTTGGGGTATAATTCTGAGTAACATAAAGAAGAATTTACTTCTCATATCATTTAAAAAACGTCTTGAAACAAAAAAGATGTATAAAAACTGAACAAGGATATATAGATTTTATGGTGGTTTTTATAAGTTTCTACACCTTTATTTCATGGTTTTTATCGCTGCATTTATTATTGTGACTATAATTAACATAAATGATAATTAACATGTATTTTTCTGTTTTTTAAAAAAAACTTTAACTTCTTTTATTCTTCTATAGCACTTTTCAAGCAAAGCCATGTATTGACCAAAGTGCTTTGCAAGATGAAACACATAATAAATCAGTGCTGACTAAATACACAAGCTCAATAAAAGAAGTTAAAAAACATTATAAAAATACTAAATGTCAATGATCAAAAGCCCTTTTATAAATAAACAGGTTTTAAGTTTGGCTTATAATTTTAATACACAGATAGGTAAATAACTTTATGATGTAATTTGCTATATAAATTTATGCCAAAACTGCATCCATCAACCTGCTGCTCAGAAACAAGCAGCAGTAAAGTCTTGGTATCGTCAGCTGAGTTTACCATGAATGCTAGTTAGCATAGCCACTGATGACGGCAGATAAATAGTGTTTCATTTGGTGCTAGGCTGATTCTCCACCATTAGCATAGCTACAACAAACCGATAATCTTGATTGTACAGGCTTTTTGAGGGAGGTTGTGAACAGTACATACATAAACTTGATTGACAGCGCTAAGTCCCTCCTCCTGCCTCTGATTGGCTGTTTCTGAACATAAAGAATGAGTATTTTATCATAAAAATACTACAGTGACTGACTTTATGATTACTTAAACCTAGTGATTAATTGTATGTTTTCTTTTCCACCTGTTCAACAGAACAAATATCATTTTTGGGGGAATATTTCCACTGATTTCCAGCTGCTCCTGAATTAAAGCTGTTGATCCCGTCTGTGTCTGCTGGCAGAAAGAACGTTAAATTGAGACTGAAGCAGGGGGAGAGAAAAAGGCAGAGCCTGAAGACGCGCTCTCGGCTATGGTGTTAAATACACCGAGTTGAAGTAAAAGCCCCGGAAAAGGATCGAAGCCGCATCTGGGGACATGTGTTGTAAATTTCACACTCTCGGCACACCTCATTTAAAGCTCCTCTGTTCCCTTTAAATATTTACAACCCTCTAATTAACCGCTGTACCTCAGGGAAGTGTACACTTTGTTGAGGTGGGTAATCTCTCGTGTTTATAAAGCTGTTTTTAGCCGGCGGGGTTCAGGGGGATATCCTGTGTTGACTTGCTAAACTGGAACATTTTTATTGCAGCACTAACGACTTGTTGTGAAGCCTTTTTGCCTGGAATTATGTTCCCAGTAAACTAATTGTTTTCATAATTGTGCTCTAACTGAATGGCTCTTTAAGGTGCAGTGAGTTATTTTCTTTCCTTAAAATTCTGAAGTCAAAGGAAACTGTTTTGGGCGTCTTGGAAGGTTTGTTGAGATCAGATCAAGGCTGCTGAGCCGAAATCAGTGATTTTGATCCTTTTCAATAATATTCACAATGAAGAGAGAGATTATATTGGCTGCAGCAGCTGAATGGAGTTGGTGGGTATGAGCAATAATTCCAAGTAGACAATATGGCTGAGAAACTCATCACAATATAAGCTTCATATCAGTCGATGTTGATCATTATTGATATTTTTTTGTTTGTTTGAAATATGAAACAAATCTTTCCTGTTTTATCTCATTTATCTCATATATTTGGGCAAAATCTGAAACTGTTGCGGTGCAAGTTACTCAACAGCTTGTTGCTAGGTAACAAATTGTTGACGCCACCGACTTTTCTAGCTGGCTGTTAGTTGGCCTGTCAACATGACAAATTTTGCCAGATGATCAATTGTCCCAGAATTAATGGCAATAAACAATATTGTTACTTGGAGGCAATTTTCAAGTAGTGAAGGAAGAACAGTGCAAGAACATTTACACATTGGAACTGGAAGACATTTCAAGTATCCAAAACAATATTAATAAAAAATAAATAAACAGGACTATAATAACTTGGCATCAAGGCCAACTTTCAATTAACCGCCTTGTAAAACACTTTCAGCAGCTCAGAGTGTAAAAATACTGGCGTCGAACAATGTTTACCAAACACCAGCTCCCACTCTTGTTTCCATTTTTTTTTCAGCGTTGCTGCCCTTCATTCATCGCAAAATTATTTCATTTCGTCTTGAACTGAGGAAGACTTTGACATGTCATGTCTCTTCCTGTCTTCTTTTTGCATTGACCCAACCTCACTGCATTAAAATACCGTCGACAGAAGCAGGGCTGTGGCCGTATGCGTTAACTCGGGAATATCTCTAAAAGCTTCACATGTTTCAGGCGTTGCCAGGTCACTGTCAAGCTTTTTCTACCTCATTGGAGTGTTTTGTCAAGGTCGTCCAGCAGCTTTGGATCCAAATATAGCAGACAGGAAAAATGCAAGTAAGCTATTAGGGACATCATCATCATCACCATAAAACTAATGCAAACATTGTAATACTCTAAAAAGTGTTGTGGAAAAACTCCACATATATTCGATTGTTTTTTCTCTGCTTTGACTAAAGGCTTTTTTGTTACTTAGAGCTGTAAAATCAAAGCAAACAGTCCTTTCCTTTGTGTTAAAAGCAGTGAGCTGATTATGTGAATAATGCATTCTGTGCTGTGAGATATAAATACTGATTTAATGACCTTGTTCTGTCTATTTGCTCTGATATACCCAGGCTTTACTAAGCTTGGGTGTCTTACTGCTTGAGTTCAACTGAAACCAAACAAAACCAAAAAAAAAAAAAAAACTTGAAAAGAAATACATCAAACACACATGGATGAAGTAGAAATTACTGTTTTGTTTTTGTTTTTTTGTTTCTGTAAATGCTTTTAATTTCTTGTTGGGAAACAACCAAATTCAGGAATCGTTCACCGATCAATAAACATTGAATTTTTAGACAAGTCTAGAAAACAAATGATTGAAAAGCAACAGTTTTGAACCAAGAAGATATACTGTGATTGCATCTTTCTCTGACGTCCACCAAATGATGTAATGATAAAAATGTCAGCCATATTTATATATATATTGATATGTAGGTTAATATCTTTGGCATTAGGCCTGTTAGGTGTAGTCAGTAACCATAGGTTGACTTTCCGAGTTAGAATCAGCTTGTAGCATAATTT